AACTGAGCCCGAAGGAAGGAGAGAGTGGAACGTGAAACCAAGTGAGGTGTGAAGTTGACGAGCGTGAGTTAGATGAATAAGATACACTTCCACATTTTGCGTGATTTTGCGGCGACGAACAAAAGAATAGATTGGAATTCGCATATCCGTCGTATTTAATAATAGAAATTGCGCAATGCAAAGGGAGGAGAAACAACAGGACTCGGCCTTAGAAGCCATAATAATGCGAGTGAACGATCTAAAGAACGCGATTTCTGCAATGATATTTAAAGTGGAGCATGAATACGAGACCTTAAATTGGCCAAATTTCCTGGACAATTTTGCTCTTATCTCGGGTCATGTAAGTATCCCATTATACTTTAATTAATTAACTAGAACTATTTATGTATTAATATATACCTATTTTTATTTAAATATAATAATGTATATGTACATATATATATGTGTTTTACAAAAAGATAAAAAGGGAAAGTAAGTTAATCAATACAAATAAGCGAAGAAGACCATATGCGATTAAAAAAGGCAGGATTTTTTTAGCCTAGTAATATTTTTGCGTAAATCTTATAATTTCCTAAATTAATCAATCATTTATATATTGCAGATTGTTAGATATTTGATAAAAAGTTACAAGTTATAGGACTGCTTTGATAGTTCTAATCATAGTAAAGAGCATCTATCTTGCATGTTTAATCTATACATTATATCTTCAAATTACGCTTAACGTATCATTTGTACAGCTGACCAGCCTCTCAAAAGTTCTCGGACATGACAAAGCCTTAAATCTCAGAGGTCTAACAGTTTTACCATTACGCTTGAGTCCGGAGAAGGATGAGGAATTGCTACGACTCACAGAGAATCGAATCCCTACATTCGCGCATGATCTGGTCCCGGATTATTTGAGAACGAAGTTGGAGCCCCAAGCCGAGCAAAAGATGATGCAATTAGAAGCTAAAGCCGCAAACGTTAACATCGACACATCACATGTAAGAATTCTATATACTGTACACAAAAAGGGTATTTTTAAGAACTGTCCTACGTTAAAATTATACAT